GAAAGAGTTTCAGTCGGAGTGGACACCTCAATATACATAAACAGACACATACAGGAGAGAAACCATTTAAATGTATGCAGTGTGGAAAGAGCTTTAGTGATAATGGCAAACTTAGAACACATCACCGGACTCACACAGGGGAGAAACCATTTAAATGTATGGAGTGCGGAAAGAGCTTTAGTGATAATGGCAAACTTAGAACACATCACCGGACTCACACAGGGGAGAAACCATTTAAATGTATGGAGTGCGGAAAGAGCTTTAGTTTCAATGCAACCCTTAGAATACATCAAGGGACTCACACAGGGGAGAAACCATATAAATGTATGGAATGTGGAAAAAGTTTCAGTCAGAGTGGACACCTCAATATACATCAACAGACTCACACAGGGGAGAAACCATTTACATGCATGGAGTGCGGAAAGAGCTTCAGGCAGAATGGACACCTTAGAAAACATCAGCAGACACACAGCGGAGAAACTCTGTAAATGTATGGACTGTGGAAGGAGCTCCAGTCAGAGTGGAACCCTTGATTTATGTCAACAAACTCAAACAAAAGCTAAACCTTATAAATATCAGAAAAGTAGATAGAGGTTCAGTCCTAGTGGAAATTCTAAATCAACAGATTCACGGACAGGAAGAACTTTAGTACTTGAAACTCTTCAAACCATCAACAAACTCAAAGAGGAGAAGCAGTTTAAATGAAAAGATTGCAAAAAGTGCTTTATTTACAATGGATTGTTTAAGGAACATCCAGAGATGCTCACATGTAAGAACCCATTTAAATGTATAGAGTGTGGGACGTCTTCCTCTCAGAGTCCACTCTTTTCTTCACAGAAATGAACTCAGCAGGAAATTGGTCTTTAAAACATGTTGTGTATGTGAAGTTCTGGTAATTATGTGTAAAACTGTATAGTAATGAAATATTGAAGGCAATGCCAAACAATGTCATTATAATCTAAGATGTAAAGTACCTTTCGATAGAGGAAGGGTGAGGGTTTATCTGGATTGCTGGTGGTCAGTGAGGGCTGGGCGATATATTGTCCATTACTGGTTTCTTGACCACATCATGATAACCTTCCAAAAACAACTGATATGGCAACACACCAAGAATCACAGTGTGTGTTTCTGGGATGTGCCTGCAAGCAGCGGCAGAAAGCTTTGCTTCGTGAAGTCCCTGCAGATGCCGAGTTCCTGACTTCCCTCACAGACGACAGGAAGCGAAAGACACACATCCATTGCCCTGTGTCCTTCCAGCATCTTTCCTTCCTTGCTCCCTTCTGCCGGTGTGTGTGCCTGACTTAGATTTCCTGTGTGCTGTATTTTTTTACTGCTGAAACTGGATTTGCTCTCAGGAGCAAAGTTTTGTGCCTCATTGGGAACCCAGTGAGAACTGCATGCTTTGAAAGCTCAGTAAACTATTACTGAAGAAGTCCTGCTGCCTCTGTGTGTGTTTTTGACCTCAGCATGGGAATTGCTCTACACCTGGCCCCTACCCTGCCGATACTTGGCTTATGCCCTGGAGTTGCTCTACTCAAGCATGCAAGACTGGTGCATATGTGTGTGACTGGTTTTTGCACCAAACTCTCTCACCCCCACCACGTGTGATCTCCAAACACTGCTTCTTCACCAGAACTTCTCCTTGCCTCCTACATGTTCTGAAGAAAATTTAAAATGCTGTAATTTAATGGGAGATTTTCCCCAATCCTTATTGCAAGAGGGGGAAGGAGGGGCTGCAGGTACCTGGGGGGCCCATCTTCCCTTACGAACCGCATGGGGCAATCCCATAGCTCCTGCTTATTCTGGGGTTTGGGGAAAATAGTCCTTTCCCATAGTCCCAGAAGTTATTATTCTTCCTGCCAGAGGACCAGTGTGCATATTTTTATTGTACTGATTTTACTGTTGTTGCTGCTTTTGCTGTCATGGACTGGGTGGGCGAAAGGGGGGAGGCACAAGCTGGGGAACCCTCAAGGGAAAAAGGCTCGGAGTCCGGGTGTTGTAGGCCCCCAAAGGCTATCAAAACTCCTAGGTCTGGCCAATTAAAGGCTGATATGGGAGCCATTGGGGGCCAGGTCGGTTCCTTCATTTTCTCCTCTCCTCTGGAAAAGTCCTCTTTCTTTTGGGGTTCAATTACTTTTGTCTCCTCCAGAGCCCACTGCACCATCAGCGAGGTACAATACTGTCCTTTCAACGTCTGTAGCCACGTAGGGCTCTCTCTCAGGACCGCTACCCAGGAGTCTGCGTATGCAAACTGCTCCGAACATCCAGGGTGTTTTGTCATGCTTCTAAAGACCTGGTTGGTTAGGTCCAGGTCCTACGAGCCCGGGGGGGGGGGCTGTCCGGATGGATTTCTCACTTGTTTGGGGTTCATCACTCCACCGTATTTGCATTTGAATTTGTCAGAATTATTCACCGTGCCTTGTAATGGAGTCCATTCCTCCTGTGAGTGTGACCCCCCCATTATGTCCTCCTGCTTAAGTTGTTACACAAGAGGGGCTCACTGCCCTTCTGACATGTAGTAGATAAAATAAAAGGTGGGGGGGAGCCTTTTGAAAAGAGACTGGTGGCCTGCTGCCCCAGCAAGGCCCACAGTGAGAAAGCCTATAGAAAGAAAAGACTCATAAATAAATGCCCCCCTCGGCTGCACAGCCTGCCAGTCCTGGGCAGAGAACTTGCAGTTGTGCCAAGTGGGGGGAGAGCCCGATCTCTGCAGCCCCAGCCCTCAGCCGGAGAGGAGCCTTCAAGCAAAACACAAAGTGAGAAAACTTTCCCCTCTTTCCTCACCGCCTCAGTCCATCTTGGCCAAGAAAGAGACAATAAAATACATAGACATACATAGAGCTGGGAGCCTCTTGTTGCAGGGGGGGGGTCCCCCCTCACACACAAACACACACACACACACACACACAGCTGGCACTCCAGCCCCAGCTCCCCTGGCTGAGCTGGAGACAAAAGCGTCAATGCAAAGCAGACAAAAAGAAAGCTCTTTCCCCAAAAAGTGCAATTTTAACTGCTAGCAAAACACACAGAGCAGCCCCCCCCCTTTTGCCTGAGACACACACAGAGCCTCAGCCCACGGCTCCCTCCATTTCAAGGAATGGGGGTCCCGCACAGCCCTCGGGGCACCTCAGCATCCCGGAGATTGCCTTGTTCCGGTGGGGGGGGGGACTATTTTGCTTGCTGAGGGCAGGAGTCACAATCCTGTCACATTGCGGGGTGTCAGGCTTTTATGTAAGGGGTGAGGCTTGGGTGGGCCAGTCCTGTTCACAGTGAATTCTCAGTCATTTGTTTTCATCGCTCCACCACAACCCGTTTCCCACACCTTTTAACTACCCTCTTCCCCAAAGCACCACAATAGTATTCACACATCCCCCTAGCTGCAAGGCTTTCCTGAGCTTCACCTTGGAAAGTATCAGGATTCAATCCCCATCCCGATGGATTTCTGTCTTGACTGCCCCCCCCCCCGCTGGATTTAACAGCAGCAATCGTCTGCCACCTGGCATTGCCCGGAGGAAGGGGTCGGCAGAACGATCTGAAAGGATTAGGGTTTTCCTGAGTACGTGACCTGCCGCTTCAGGGATTATGGAGGCCGGGTTAGCATCAAGGAGTCCTCACAAAACTGAGTTGATTGACACCAAAACTAAAGAAATTGGAGCTGTGGTTGATTTTATATTAACAAGAAGTTTCCACCTGTTTCAGTCCTTTCGTATAGCCATAATTGAGGACGGAAATAAAATGGTTACATTGTTGCAAGGTTTGACACTTTTATGAGTCCACAAGTTTCGGTTCCATTGTTCTCCCAGCAGGGGAGATCCCCCACCCCACCCACGTGGATGTTGCAGGAAGGAGAACCGCGAGCGAGGGACAAAGAGGTAAAGGGGTCGCGGGGGAAGGGGAGAGAAGGATCCAGAGACTCCCTCCAGCTCCCCAAAGCGCCTTTCCTACAACTGGATCACTGCACGCGTGCTGCGAAGGGGGTTTTCCTTGGACCCTTAGGAAGCGCACCCAGGGGATCCCAACGAAGCCCCCTCGCTCCATCTTCCCGCGCAGGCATCCCTGGGACTCCGTGGGTTCCGCGGGGAGAGAGGTGGGACATGAAAGGGTTAAGGGGCGTGAGGGAGGCCTGGATAGAGACCCCCCTGTCCCTCCGCTGCTCGTCTTGGGGGGGCCCTCCGGACGGAGAGATGGGAGCGCAGGGCGTGGGGTGAGCTGCGCCAAGGGGGGCCTCTGGGTTCAGGGTAGACTCTGGGACAGAGGGAGGGGGTCGAGGAAGTGGGGAGGGGGAGCATCCCTGGGGCAGGGAAAGGCAGCAATGGTGGGGGGGGGGGAGAGAGAGAGAGAGAGCTAGGTGGACCAGTCTTTGGCTAGACGTCTCCATCATGGTGCCTGCGGGGATTTTCTCGAGGGGCCGCCTTGGATTCTCCCTACCACCCAGGAATCGGCCACCCCTTCAAAGCTACTAGTGGGATCCCTGGAAAGTAGGGGGTCGTGTCCCCCCACCCCTTCCTTCCTGCAACCTCTATCCTACTCCCACCCCATAAGCCCCTGCCCTGCCCATACTGTTGCAGTAATTTATGTATAGGTGGTGGGGGGGGTTGCCCCTCCAGCAGATATCATGCACATGCAGCCCACTACCAAAATCAGCACCATCACTCTTGTGACTTGTCCCCACAAAGCACTTCCATCACAGTTTATTCGTATTTATTCAAAGGGCCTCTCCTGCACAATACCAAATATAAGAATTCACTGATAAATGTACCTATGTACTGGCTCACTGGGGTAACTTCAGAAATTCCTATAGACATGTGAGCTCAGCAACTCAGCAGCCCCTCTGCCTGAGTGATAATCCCTGGCATCCTGATACCTGAGTGCCAGACAGGTAGCCATTCCAGAAAGAACCAACCCAGATGAAGACAAAGGGGTGGGATTAACTTGGCTGGGAAACAGGTCAGGGAGGACAATGGGTGGCTGGCTGGGGGTGGGGCAAAGGCCAAAGAAAAGAGGCTGACCCCTTTGTCCAAGCCCCTTTTGGTTTTCTTCCTTCCAGGATCAGGATCATCAGGAGCGTGTCCTGGCGGCCGGATTAAGGTAAGTTCTGGCCTGATTGGAAGGGGCATGGTTCCTCCACCAGGCTAGGCCGCAACTTTGTCCCTTTTCTTTCTGGGCGAGCCCCCAGCTAGCCGTGGGGGGGGGTCTTTTTGTTTTGTAGCGGGGGCATGGCTCCCCTGATGACGCCATCCACTGCCCTCCAGCCAGCCATTTCCCTTTTTGTTGGTGGGGGTGGGGCATAAGTCAGGCCACATGGCGGTCATGGTTTTTTGCACCCCTTCCCCTTGTTCTGCTCTGGCTACTGACGCACTTCTGCTCCTAGCAGGGAAATGTAAATCTCTCTTTTGTTACACTTGATGGGTATTTGGTGGAGGGCAAGGGCAACCATGGGGCAGGGTCCAGGATGCTCAGATTACTGCCACCAGACCTCCCCTTTCATGATGTAACCATGATGTATTAGTGATGTATTTTGGGGGCTGTAACATGGGGATTAGCAGCTAATAAAAGTTTGGGTTCTCTTTTGTTTGGGGCTTCCATCTTGTTCCACCTTGTGGTAGGTGGGAGTCCTGTCATGACAGTCTTCAATAAATACCAAGCCTACTGGCTGCTGTTTTGCTCTGGTATTCCTGGCTGGTGTCCTTGTTTTTTGTCCAGGGGGGCCCTCAGATTTCTCCGTTAACAAGACGGAAGATTCCTTCCTGCAAGCTCCACCCGATTCCCACCCCATAAGCCCCTGCCGTGTCCAGATAATAATAATAACAATACTTTTAATATTTAGATCTCGCCCTCCGGGCTCAGAGCAGCTAACAACAATAAAAGTAACACAGTTTACATAAAATCACAATCAATTAATTAAAATGCATTCTAAAATCAATTCATCCTAATATCAATTCAAAATCAAATTAATGGCAGATACAGTGGTTCTGCCAAGTCCAACCATTGGTCCCCCTGGAGAGGAGAGGAAATTCCAAGAGGAAGAGAGGAGGGGAGAGGCCTTCTCAGAAGCGGCTCTTTGTTTCCTCAGTCCTACCCAGGAATCAGCCAGAAACCTTTTCCTCTCTCTCAGGCTTCCATCTTTAAGTGTCTTTTCCACTGCATGGTTTGTTGAGGATGAGGATAATGTACACCTGTCATCAGAAACAGGGCTGCAGAGTCCATGGAATGGCTCTCAGGGCTGATATAGAAGTTGCACCTCAAAAGCATTTCTGTTCCTCTTATTCTTTGAAGGCAGTGTCAGACTGACTGACAAGCTGAGATACAACCCATCATCATCCAATGGTAGCCATTGCATGAATCTTCCCAGTCAAAGGACCCATTTTCATGATAGACAGTCCCTGTGTGGCTGGAGGCTCAACACACAGGGTGTGCCTATACAGGCGATAGACTACCAGTATTAGCACAGGCGAGGTGTGTGTTTCCCCCCACCAAATTGACTGGCTATGTGTGAATGAGAGTTTGTGGGTGGGACTATCGTTTACGGCAACCTTGCTACCACAAGGGAGCACCCAGATGTCAGAACACTCATCCCCCAACACCATGTTCTGGACATGGCCCAGGAGGAAGGAGGGGAACCACTGCATAGCAGGCCCCCCAGCTCCCCTAGAGGGTCCAGAAGGATACCAAAGTCAAAGGTCTCCAAAGCCACTGAGAGATCCAGCAGAACCAGGAAACAGCTTTCCCCTCAGACTCTAGCGCATCGGAGATCATAATCTAGCGCAACCTGCGTAGTTTCAGTCCCATGGTGAGGCCTGAATCCCAATTGGAAGGATAATGGTGGAAGAAGCTTTCCTGGTCCTGCACCCACAAAAGCTCCAGGCACAATATTTTATTAGCTTTGAAGGGGCCATCAGATACTTGGTGGCCTTTTATTCAAAAGACAAATACTCTGATTAGTTTTTAATTGATGTATGATATAAACAGCACTTCTGTTTTACATATTCCACATTGGAGAGATTTTGATACACAGGTCTGAGATCATCGCTCCCCCTGAAACTGCTGTGTTAGCAGCACTGTGAGCCTGGACAGTGTGTTTGGGGGTCCTGGGCTGCCTAGACAACAAGACCCCCTTCTCAGCCTGGCTTATATGGTCCGAAAAAAGGCAGAGCAGTATGTTAGGCACCCCCCAATTCCTCCCCTCCCATCCCCTCCCGGCACATCGTTCTCTCACCCCTCCCACACAACCCCAAATCCCGCCCCCATACGTTGCACCCATTCCTCCTCCTCCTCTTCCTCCTCCTCTCCATCCGGCTTCTGTTCCGGGAATGGGGGGGGATGAGCCCCCCTCCCAAACTGCCTGCTTCTCCCGGAAGTGGAGCTTCTGCGCTGGATTGCTGCTCTGCGCCGTAGCTCTAGCGGCGCGCGCTTTCAGAAAGGGGAGGGAGGAGACAGGGTAGGACACCCCCCCCCCCCGTGGATGTTGCAGGGAAGGAAAGGAGAATCGGGAGTGAGGACAAAGAGGTAAAGGGGTTGCGGGGGGAGGGGAGGGGCGGTAAGGACCCAGAGATCCCCGCCAGCTCCCCAAAGCGCCTTTCGTGGGCCCCACGGGCAGGGCCTGGATCCCTGCACGAGTGCTGCGGAGGGGGCTTTCCTTGGCCCCTGAGGTGCCCTGGTGGGGGCGGACATTGTGACCCCACCCAGGAGGTCCCCACGAGGGCCCCCTTGCCCCGTTTCCCCCATGCAGGCATCCCTGGAGCCCTGTGGGCTCCGCATGGAGAAAGGCGGGTCACGAATGAGTTAATGGGCGTGAGAGACGCCTGGATAGAGACCCCCGTGTGGCTCATGTTGGGGGTGTGTGTCAGGGAAAGAGGGAGGGGGTCGAGGAAGTCGGGGGGAGCATCCCTGGGGCAGGGAAGGGCAGCAATGGGGGGGGGGCTAGGTAGACCAGTCTTTGGGGCTTGTCTCCATCATGGCCCCCGCCAGCTCCCAAAAGCATCTTTCGTGGGCCCCTTGGACGCCTTGGCAGCGGCGGACATGGGACCCCCACCCACGGGGTCCCCACGAAGGCCTCCTTGCCCCGTTTCCCCCGTACAGGCATCCCTGGGGCCCTGTGGGATCTGCACGGAGAAAGGCGGGCCATGAAAGCGTTAACGGGCGCAATGGACGCCTGGATAGAGACCCCCGTGTGGCTGGTGTTGGGGGGGCGTCCTCTGGATGGAGAGATGGAGCGCGAAGGGTGAGGGGTGAGCCCCTCCAAGGCGGCCTCTGGGTGCAGGGGAGACTCAGGGAAAGAGGGAGGGGTCGAGGAAGTCGGGGGGTGCATCCCTGGGGCAGGGAAGGGCAGCAATGGCGGGGGGGAGCTAGGTAGACCAGTCTTTGGGGCTTGTCTCCATCATGGTGCCCACCGGGATTCTCTGGAGGGGCCGCATTGGCTTCTCCCTCCCGCCCAAGAATCATCCACCCCTTCAAGGCGACCAGAGAGGGATCCCTGGAAAGTGGGGGCTCCAGTTCCCCCACCCCTTCCTTCCTGCAAGCTCCAACCTCTTCCCACCCCATCAGCCTCTGCCCTGTCCAGACACAGCCATTCTGCCCAGTCCAACCACTGGTCCCCCTGGAGAGGAGAGGAAATCCCGAGACGAGGGGGAGAGGAGAGGCCTTCTCAGAAGCGGCTCTTGGTTTCTGCAATCCCACCCAGGAAGCAGCCAGAAACTTTTTCCTCTCTCTCAGGCTTCCAACTTTATTATTTTTATTTAAATGATATTTATTGAGAATTTTTAAAATTACAGAAAAAACAAAAGAGAAAAACAAGGGGAAAAACAAACAGCAATCAAACAATACAAATTGATAAAAATCAAAAACAAAACACATAACACATAACACATCAAAATCAAGAAGCAAAAATAAACCAGAAAAATTTAAAAACAGATCCAATATTTCCAAATCCTTAACTGTCATTACCTTATTTCATCGACCTCCTCACACCTCCCTTTTTTGTATTCTAGTTGTTAATTATCACAGCAAATCCTTTCCATTTTTCATAATATTCTGTCAGTAAATTACCTTAATCTATTTTAACCTTATCTTACTATAAAAGACCGTAAAACTTAAAACTTAAATCTTATTTATACCAATTTCTCATAACCATAACATATTCTTATATAATTTTTTTTTAACATTTCTGCTAAAGCCAAATAATTTCGTTCCAACATTTTTCTAATACTCATTAATTTTACAAAACAATCCTTAATAAAAATTTTAAAATTTTCTTCCAATCTTCATCCAACGTCTCTTCCTCCTGGTCCCGGGTTTTGTCAGTCCTTTCTATCCCATCCATCTAGTTCATTAACCTGGTAATCTTATGTCCGAGGCCCTTAAATCTCTTCCATGTCCCTTCCGCAGATCTTCTTCATATTTATACCTGTACTTTACTTTGTCTCCTGCTCCTTTCACTCGTGGAAACTCCAACTTGACAGCATTTTTATCCCTTCTTGACAGATCAGCCCCTTTTCCATAGTCCACACTGAACTCCATGTGGTATTTAAAAGCATGTTTCAAGGTCCCTCCAGAGTTGAGGACCCCCACAACCCCAGACTCCTCACGGCCCATTGCCAGTCAAAACATCCCTGCATTGGGGGGGGGTCTATCCAGCCCCCCATCTCCAAGCCAAACAAAACTCTATCTCTCCAAATCTGGCTTTTTCCAAGTTCATTTGTCAGATCCAACAACTCATGTTCCTGCTGGGCCACAGCTCCCTCCATCTCTGCCACCCGAGGTCCAGCAACAACCTCCTCACTCATCTGATCTGTCAGAGCACACTCCTGAGTTGATTTCTGGGTGGGTTCTATATAGATACCCACTACCTGTCCAAAATTTCTAATCACAACAGTCATCAAATCCGTCTTCTCATGTAACTGTTCCAATAAAGCACTTGTCTTGCAGAAAGCACGCACCAGAGCCTCTGAGTACATTGTTAGGCAAGGTCAGAAGTCTGTTCCCACGATCTTAATCTATTGCAGCTGCGAAGCTCCCCAGTTCAAATTTAATAACAGTTTCACAAGCTCCCTCTAGGGGAAGAACTTCTATTTGTATCCATCTCTTTTCTT